CTAATATGCTTAATTGGTAGTAGGCTTTCGAGCCTATACAGCTTGGAGTAAGACAACATGCATGAAGAGGATGATGTGGACAAAATACTCATTTTCCTAATAATTCTGCACTCCCTGTATAAGCTGCCAAACTTAAAAAACAAAAGTCTGGAGGCGACTAAAGTGGATACTGCTGATAAGACACTCACTATGCCCATGAGTGTCACTCTAAAGCTAAAAATGAACTTAAATTAACAGAAAACTAACACTCACAGGGTGCTAAACTTAGCTCTGGCATTGTGAATCTTAAATATTGAGCTGCTGGCAGGTATTTTCTTGGCGTTACAGCCTTCAGTTGCACCTTGTGGAGTCTAATGTTTTCCTCTTCTGCATATGACGTGTCGGCTCTGGCAATTGGCAGATGAAAGGCAGGGTGTTGCTCTTCCCTCCACCTTTAACTGTTTGGCAACTACACCAAAAATTGTATCAGTGATCGTTCACCCAAATAAGTTCATAGCAAGTTTTTTTTAGTGAGAAGCTCTCATGATTTGCTTCAGTTGACCAAATTAACAGCAAAACAAATCAATGAGTTTGCTTCATTTTTAGATAACAAGTTATTCCAAAATTCCGGTTCCTGAAAATGGGATATGTGAGGTGGGACTAACTCACCTCACCCCTGTGCACACCAACAGAACTGTTCGTGAATATATTTGCACACTCTGGTTGTTGAGACCATATTTAAAACCCTAACACTTCATTTGTAAGTGAAAATTGAAGAGTGTGTTTCTAATCATGCTGTTTCTCCTGGTTGTGTTAAAAGCAAATGTATTCTAATATATTTGTTATGACAGCATTAAAAACTGTTGGGGGTTTTCTCAAACTTTCAGAAAGAGTGCCTAATGCTGCTTTAAGTGTAAGAAAACACAGATCTGCTATCACCGCAGGCATGTTTTCACTCTCTGAGGGGTTGTTGAATATCATGTGCTCCTGTCCTTGCCTCTACAGTGTGTGCAGTGGATCGATGACGCCAAGCTGAACCAGCTCAGGAGGGAGGGGATCCGATACGCCCGTATCCAACTCTACCACAATGACATCTACTTCATCCCCAGAGGAGTTGTCCACCAATTCAAGACAGTGTCTGCTGTCTGTAGTCTGGCCTGGCATATCCGACTTAAACAGTATCACCAACATGAAGAGAAGGAGGAGGAGGAGGTTAAGGAAGAGGAGACATGTTCACCAAGACAAGTAACATGTTATATTAAAAAAGAGGAGGAGGAGGTAGAAGCGACGGAGTGTGACCTTGCTGTAAAGGCAGTGACGAAGCTGGAGGATGAGGAGGACACGGGGAAATGGGAGGGGGCACCCCCAGACACTCCGACACAGATTTTCAATGAGGAAGAGCGAGAGAACAGAGCTGACGTGAAGGAGTTGTCAGCGGCACTGTCACTACCTTTGGTCAAGAAAGAAAGAGATGAATCTGCACTCAGTCCCACACTAATTGAACCTCAAGATGAGGAAGATGTAAAAGAGGAAGGCAAAGGAGCTGCAGACACCTGTCAGACACTGCAGATGGACCACGAGGAGGGCAACAGAGCGGATAGTGCCCCTTCAAAGCCATCACAGCAGATTAGGAAGGAAAGTGATGTGGAAGAAGAGCGGCAGCACAAAACATCAGGACAGGGCCTGAAAGAGAAAAGTAAAGAGAGTATACTGAGCACTTATAACGCACCCCAAATCAAAAAGGACAAAGATAAAGGCAGAAGAGAGAAGGATGAAAAGGAGAGGGTGAAAGAGAAGGAGAGGAAGGAAAAGGACAGGAGTAAAGAGAAGGAAAAGGATAAAAAAGACAGGGGGAAAGACAGAGAGCGAGAGAAGGACCGGGTGAGAGAGCAAGAGAAAGTTAAGACTGAGGGAGGACGAGAGGGTTGCACAACGACGCAGATACCGCCGCAGATGAAGAAAAAAGAGGAAGAGGAACGGACGAGAGAGGGCGGTAAAACCGCCCCAACCAACCCGTCAGCTCAGAGAGACGAGAAGTGGGCCAAGGAGTGGGACTCAAAAACGCAACCCCATGTCAAGAGAGAGAAGGAGCATGACAAGGACCGGGCAAGCACGCCTGCTGCGGCTCACCCACGGCCAGACAGAGAGGAGGCTCGAGACTCCTGCACGCATAAACACAAGTCTTCCCATGGGAAGAAGGAGAAGAGTGGCCACAGGGAGGGCAAAGACGGCAGCGCGCTGGGAAAATGGGGGAGAGAAGACGGAAAAACTCACAAACCTGCGAACGTTCAGGTTAAGAAAGAAGTAAAGAAGGACAGAGATGTCGGCAGCAAAGAAGAGAAGAAGAAACCTGCTTCTGGTCCTGCCCAACTAGAACACAAACAACCACGGACACTGGTCACCTTTGACCTTTTTAAACCCATGGAGGCCCATCAAACTTTGGCTCTTTCCTTCACGGACAGTAGACCCAAGAGCCACCATCACAGTGACTCTCGAGGCTCCTCGTCTAAGCCTGCATCTGACAGTCGGACTGTTGCGCTCTGTAAAGGACCAAAAGTAAAGGACTCGGTGCCGGGTAAGCCCGGGTCAGCGCTACAGGATACAGCGCCACAGCAGCACTTATTAAAACAGCCCCTGAAAACACACCCCCCCCAAACACAGAAAGACTTCTTAATATGAATGTCTAGATGTCTAGTCTGCTTTTCTTTTCCTTTTTTCTTTTCTTTTTTCTTTTTACTGTACAATTTGCGCCAAGGCTTTGGTAAAATATTTCAAAGTGCATCCTTACTTCAGATACCACAAAAGTGAGCGAAAGCTGCTTTGACATTGCCAGACCTCCTGTGACGCAGTGAAACGAGGGTGCGCTCTGCAGGTATTTTAACAAGGTCTAAGAATGTAAGCTAAGTAGCTCACTTCACGTTTGTTAGCAGATGTACGTAGGCTTTATATAAAATGTTATGTGACCCCGTGTGTCAGTGCCTGTGCACTACTTAGCTTCGCTCTTAAAGCACCTATTTTAGGTACTGGTCTCGCCAGTCTGAAAACAACCATCCGTACTCCCCTGCTGTAAGAACGACCTTTGTTCAGTGTTTGAGACATCAAGGAGATCCCTGTGATCTCTCTCAAATCATCTGTTTATCGTTGCTCATGCCGATTTGGAGGTTTGTTATTTTTAAACCTTCATATCAGAGCAAGTAGTTGTTTTCAGACTGGACTGTTGGACTCACACAGGGCTGTAAATGATACTGTATGTACCAAAACTGTACAGTATAGATGTTATTAGCACCAATGTGAGAAAATGTATACAGAAATTGCATATATTTTTTGTAAGACAGGTTTTATTTTCCATAGAACTTATTTATATCATTTACTGTCTGTTTTTATTTGAAACCGATGTATGTGAAAATTCTGTTGTAAATACATTTTATTTCCTAAGAATTGGTAGTGTGATTTATACTCTGATCAGAACCTCTCAATAAATGGTTCAAAATGTTGACTTGGTCAGCGTTAAAAGTCTCGCCTGTGTTTTGTATCAATGAGGTCACAGTCATTTGCCTTTCTGGCTGCTGGGTCAGGCATGCAAAGCAACAGTCAGGGCACAAGGCAGGTAAAGAAGAATGTGGAGGCAGGGGTGGGACAGAAGGATATTATGATAGTAGTTAGACCTGTTATAATGGTTTGGAGATGGTTTTGCTACATAAAGTCAAGAGAAGAGGTGAAGATGCTTGTGTTTTCACTGGGAGCGACCAGGACAGGATTACAAATGAGTAGTTTGTGTGAGAGGGCAGGATGATAGGTATAGGGTGAGATGGAGGCAGATGATCCACTGTAGGGACCCCTAAAGGAAGGGGCAAAAAGAAACCTCAGATTATGGCAGGATGTTTTCCAAATATGCTGTGAGTGTGAACTCTAAGCCCCTCCCACCAGAGAAAAACAGTAAAAATAAGTCGCTGCTTACTTTTGGCTCCATGTTGAGCAAAACTTGACTGGATCCTAGAAGAGATGGTACTGTAGTGTTGTAGTCCAGGAGGAATCCCAAATGCGGATAAATTGAAGGGTTACATCAGGAAAAATCTATGCCAAATCAAACATGAGAATCCCAACTTCTTGGAGCATAAGGAAGCAGTACATTCTTAACTTTAATTTTTATTTTCTCATCTAATACACCCTCCTGACCTGGAAATCAGTATGCCGTGCTGCAGGATCTCTAGGTTCCTGAAAATGCATCTGGAGCATAGGTTTACTGGACAAGTTACAATAAAGGATACAAAGGTGTATAAGAGTGTGACACACAGCTAGTGTAGTAGGAGGACTCGCACACAATCACAAGTTGTTAGCCAATGAGCGTGTCCAGAAAATCCACATCTCTGTCACATAGACAGCCCAAAATTTACAATTTTATTCAATATAACATGAAACAGAGGTTATGTCTAAGAATCATTTTCACACAGTCTTTGTAGCATTGGAAGTGCTCTTGCAACCACATATCACCCCCTGGTGGCCATTAAAAAGAATGCAGGTTAAACGTACTTCGACATCGGCTTCACTTATCAGCTGTAGATATCTCAGTCACTCTGAGATGACTGGATTTTTAAAAAATTAAATTCTATCATGAATTTTATGATAGAATTTCATTTCATGTCTCTTCATCCAGAGACACCACAAACACACTGCATCCTGGAATTCAGCCTTTTCCTGCTATGAAGGCTCAAAAGACTTAAATACTGACCTGCAGCAAAGGTTGCACTTACTCTTAAATCTCCCTGGGTCATTTTGTTTGCAAACATGACGTAAAACAGTCGACAAAAGGATGAACAGTGACATTTTTTTTTCCTGGCTTTCAAAAAGATGTCTACAGCAGGTTGTACAGTGCAAATTACATTTAATATGAGCAGATGGGGGAAGTTCTCATCTACATTCAAACTGTTGCTGACAGACTGCAGCTAATGTAGAAAAGTTAAGATCAGTGTTTTGTGTAGCACATGTTTGATCAGCCAGACTTTTTACCTGGCTCTTAAGTTTAATCCATTCCTTACTAATGACTAAAAATGAGCTAAAAGGCAGCAACACATGTCCAAAAACATGTCCCAAAATAACACTGATGCCGCCTGAAGCAGGTGAAGGTGAAGCAGAGCCTGCATGCCCCAGTGTGTAGATGTCACTAACCCAGTGAGTCTGCACTTACAGCAAAGGAACAGTGTTTTAAATAAAGGTCAGCATCTTCCTTCAGTGATGTATGCTTCGTGACAGATGCCTGAGTATTTAAAAAAAAAAAGTTTTTTCCAAAAGTTCACATTCTGGCAATTTCAGTCTCTCCTATAGTGGAAGACGCTGTAGCCCAGCTCTATCAGTGCTCCACCCAGCAGCACCCACAGAGGGATGCAGACCACACTGATCCACACTTTTGTGTGCCCCTCCATGCGGGAGCACAGAGTCAGACAGAAGGCCAGCTTTAGCAGCAGGGCTGTTAGGTACCACAGCCTCCTCTTCAAGCTCTGCTCACCCTCCCTGGGGTCAAAGTCCGGCTTGCAGCGGCCTGCCATCTTCACTATCAGCATGAGGATGAGGATACTGTCAAAGGTCCAAACAGGGAGGAAGATTAGGAACCAATTCCAGTGGATTCTGGAGTCCAGCTTGAGGACCAGCAGGATCAAGAAGATCAGAGCAAATATCCATGAGAGGAGCACTCGCTGGGCCAGGGACATCTTCATCTGTGGAGGACTGGCACAGAGCCAGTGTCACCCACACCCAGAGAGACTGAAGAAGGTGAGGAGGAGGAGAAGCACAGTCAAGGTGATCTGAAAACACAGCAGAAGACAGCACAGGCCCGTCACTCCTTAATTATAAACACATGACTGAAAACTAGACCTCCCCCACTAGGAAGCAGACCCTCACGGGTCTTGTAGAGAAATCCATCTCCTGATACTTCCACTCAGTATTAAAGCAAACATGAAGCTAATGTATGTTAGCAAGCTGTAGCTAACTTGTAAAACTGACCCCACTGTTCACAGTCTTACCGAGTTCAGCAGCAGAGTCAGTTCGATGTCTTTAACCCGGGGTTTCAACGACAAACTCTTCAAACGAAGACAAATACCAAAATAGCAGACAGACTGAAAACAGCGGCGAAGAAATGCGACAAAACGTTAGCTTTCAGCTACATACAGCCGACAGTTACCCTGCATTTCCGGTTAGTCCTTTCAAAACAAGTGCACGTCCTAAATAAAATTACATTTATCATTTTCAAAACAAAACCGTGATTTTGTCAATGTTTTTGGATTGGGGCTTCACCCACTCATAGCAACCTAGTGGGGATCTAACCAAACAAATGCTTGATTTTTTTTTTTTTTTTAAAGGTCGACTTACTTGATTTCTTCCCTCCAGCAACTCAGCAAACACCATCTGCTGTGCTGATAAAGATTACATGATGTAGCTGAAAGGATTTAATAGTTCCAAGATTAACCCGAGGGGAGTTAACAATAAAACGAAAGCTGACTGACTTCAGCATTTCACACTTATAAATATAAAATGTAAATAATGTGTTCTTCCTGGTCTTTTTGTTTGTTTGTTTTTTGTTTTATTGAAGTGGTACAGGTTTAAACTAGGGAGGGGGATTTCTACAATCTTGGTTACAACCTAGATTGCAAGTGGAACTTGCCTAAACATAAATAAATAAATAAATAAATAAATTAAATAAATAAATAATAATCCAGCTTCAGCTGCAGAGCCCCCCCCCCCCTTCCTAAAATCCAACATATGTGTTGTACAAAGGCAGAGCAGACATTTATTTCTAATAAAATGCTTTTTTAAAACAGAAGAAGATGCACCATGTTTTCTTTTTATAATCCTCAAATGCATTTATTTCTCTTTTACTGGGCTAGTATTACAAATTAATACAAAGTACAACTCCAGAGACATCATAGATTGTCAAAAAAGTAAAGTACAAAACGCTTGAGGTAAAACATCATTGAAAAAGATTCAGTTAAAAAGCCCTTATTAAAATTTAAGTTCTTTTCAAGGTAAATGCTCACTTTACAGCTTCTGGAAAAAAAATACAAATAAAAACAATGCAGTTTTATTTACAAGATAGTGGTGGTGCAAAATACAGTGTGTGAGACAACATTCAGTCAAAATCTTCATATCTTTGTTAAATGTAAACAATAAACATTGTCCTGTTCGCCAAAATGCCGCCACACTGATGTTTGCTCTGAAAAGACTCTACGAGTGCCGCTGACGCATGAGAGCAGAGGAGCTCATTACTACCCGGCAAAAAATATGAAACTGTTCGACATTACACATTTACAAAGCAAAGCAAATCCACGAAATGGATTGTGTATGAAAGGTTTCTCTAGGTAACTGTGGCAGCTTTCTCCTCTGCAGAGATAAGAAAATCCTTATCATTTCAAATTTTGCTCTTACTTAAGAGCACCTCTGTGGGGCAACGGATAAGTCTGATAACACTCCGTAGTTTTATTAGTTTTTATATTGTTGACAAAACCCATCAAGAAAATAAACAGTGTATCAGTCTGGGTGTAACTCTCACCTAAGCTCATTTATTCCTAGACCCAAGTCTTTAGAACCAAGTTACAGCAGAGACGTTATAGGAGCGACACTTTTCTGCAACAGCAAACATGGTGGTAAATGTATAACGTCGGGGGGGAAAAAACTTTTTAAAACATTAATTTATTATTTAACTAAACTTTTTATGCAGTTTTTTAAGGTAATATTTCAAAATAACAGTCTAAAAGATGTGAGTCAATGGTGGCTATGAAATAGTGAGACTGCTCTGTGGTTTCACTTTACATATAATATAAGCCAACACTTCTGTAGTGCATAAAAGTAGAAATGCAAACAAAAGAAATAAGGAACGTTACAGTCCAAGTGTGTGGCTTACTGATATGTTCAAAAAACAATGGAGCACTTGTTCATAATCATCAATTCATTGCTCATTGTAGTCTTTTTAAGAGATTTTTTGTTGATAACAGTGAAAATGTGAAGTACCATCAGATGCATCCTCGAGTCCTTTAATAGCAGTACCACTTATCTAACAATCGTGTTTTTCTTGTTTTTAAGAATGAAAATTTCATTCAAAAGTGAAAGCACTTGGAAGAAACTAGTCAGGGAAACTTATCATACTTCAGCAAAAAACCCAAAGCTAAACAGTAAGATGGTACCCATTCAAAATGTACGATTTCTTGCCTCCAGAATAGGGGGGTGCATCCCTAAAGGCAACCACAGTTACACAGTGCTCTGCCTGCTCTCGTGGCTGAGGCTGAGCCCCATCACCTCTGAGGAGTGAGATGGGAAATCAATAAATATCCCGTCTGGGCCTGAGTCTGCAGACTCTAGCACTTGTCCAATTATGGTTTCAGGGCTGGATGATTCACTGGGCGGCGTAGAGGATGCTCCCTTACTGAGATCAGTCATTGTTGTTGTGGCCTCGGTGCCATGGAGAGCTCCTGAGGAATGAAGCGGGAGGATGGAGGGAGACAGCAGAGGCAAGTCCATGGCACTGGCTCCAGCTTGTACTATACCTATGAAGGAGATAACAGTGGATTATTAAGGTTTAGCATATAATGATGCTTCATAATAATCAACACAGTGAGGACTACAGTCGTACCGTTGAACTGAGAGCCCACACACAGTCTGTTGGAGGAGGAGCCAGACAGTTCTGATCCTGGGGCCAGGTCAGCATAGGCCAGTCCTTGCTCCTCCAGGCACGATGTAATCTCACAGGCCGAGTGACGCCGAATTCCTCCACTGCCAACCGAGTTGGCATCTGGGTCATACTCAGCCACTGGGGTCAGCAGCAAAGGAACATTGTAGCTCTTTGATCGTACCACGGGGTTTTTAGACGGTTGATCCGCTGACTTGGACCAGCCCCAAGGCTTCTCTGAAACACAAGAGGGAAAGATGGGAAGACGTTATTAAGCTTCACCAACACTTCAACCCTGAAAACTGTTATTTTTATCCCGCTTCTGCCTCACCCAGAACATTGCAGTGAGCTTCAGCATCATCTCCAGAGTAAAGCCCATGGGTGCCCAAATAGGGCGAGACCACCTTCTGAATCAGTGACTCCAACCTCAGGTATTCCTCAGTCACACCACGCGGCTCATGGACCCCCTAAACACAGGCATTAAATTTTATATTTAGCACCATCATACTCACAGATCACCCCTGTGGGCTGTTGGTGCTTAAGTTTAGAAGAGGAAAAAAACTGTGACAATAAAAATATATATTTGTTTGAATAATGTTTGGGTTGCATGACTAAAAACTAATGCATTAACACAGTATGTCACAACCAATAACCAGCAGATCAACTAATAATCAGTAAATTTTATGAAGATACGCCCAACTAAAAGTAATTTACTCAGAAACAACAGCAGTGTAGTACTTCTTTATCTTCATGAACACCTTCAGAATAATGCAATACAATTAAACCTTTTCATTAATGTTAGAAACAAGCTGGGCCAAAAATGCACAACAGCAGGTGTTTGGAAACAAACTCAGACTCGGTGCTGAGCAGCACATAAGGAAGCCATGAGCTTGGCTTGATGCCTGCAGGCCTACCTGTAGGATGAGCAGCATTTGTGTAACAGAGGGAGGCACACGGGCCCGCGGGCGAGACAGGGCGTCCTCTAGCTTTACGCTGAGCACTATGGTGTTCCTGAAGTGCAGCAGGGCGAGCTGTCGGACAGAAGGCTCCTTACCCTGCGCGCAGAAAACAGCAGACAGACTGAGCATCGATTCAATAAAGGGCTAGGACGGAGATCAGACTCTTGAGATGCTCGCCTACCTGAACCGGGTGGAAGATGGCCTGCAGCATTGAGAGAACATCACAGAAGAAGAAGTCCCAGGTCTCTGCCAGAGAGTCAAGTAACTTCTGGCCTGCATGGATCCCAAAGGAACATGCTCGAAGCTGAATTAAGCTGATTTCCAGTGAGATATGCTAATTTCTATTTATTTATTAATTTCAAGATTGCCTACCTTCATAGAATCTTATTTTGTCCCGCAGGATGACCATGCCTTTCGTTAGCAGCTGATTCTGTGAAAAGAAGCCAGTAATTATGAATCACTGTAGAACTGCTCTCCAATTCCCGTCTCAAAGAGCTCTGAATTTAATACATCTGAAATAAACGTCCTGTTTTATTTAAGGTGCATTACCTGAAGGTATTCTGTGAAAAAGGACCCCAGCTCAGTCTTTAAAAGATGTCTGAGGAAAAGGGACAAATGAATAAATACAGTTAGAAAGATAATAAGTGGTGTTGGGCTAATTATGTGTTTATAACTTTGTAAAAACAGTGCTTGGCAGCCATGTTATGTTCAGAGCCGTCTGTGTAGTTATAGAAAAATGTGTCAACCTCCTTGTGACTTTTCTAGAAATATGTTTACCCAGCTATAATGGAAGCGGATACAAGTGATGGGTCTGGTTCAGAAAGATAATGAGATATCTGACGTGACCACATGACTCCCCAAGCCTACATGCTGTACACTACACACACAAACAAACCCGTTCACGAGAAAACATTCAGTCAACACATACAGCACACACGGTAATTACAACGATTACAGCACAAAATGACATCAACGGTCTAAAATAAGGAAGTTTTCTGAGAGCAGTGTTTGTGTGCGAGTGAGTGAGTCAGTGAGTGGGTGAGTGTGGCTGTTTACACTCACCGGACACCCTCATTAAGAACGTAAAGTTCATTATCCGCCAAGCCCTTCTTTTGGAAGACTGCTATCACAGCATTATGGATGCTGCAACATAACACACACACGAGCTGGTGTAAATTAAGAATCTCCACACACATTTAAACACTACCTTTGTCATATCTTGTGTACCTGTTCCAGGTGGCGTTGGCTCCTGCCCTCTTCTGCTTCTCCCCTCGGTCCTCCGGCGAACTTTTCTCACTCTTCCCCAGCTCACTGAGGCTGGGAGAGCTCATCAACTTCAGCCGGTGCAGAGTCCTCATGAGGCAAATGTAAAGGGAGAGAGACAGAGTATTCTAAGTACAGGAAGGGAGAGAAAGAAGGTCAGCCGATGAGCCAACACATACAGAGACACACAGAGAGGAAACACGAGGAGGCAGCTGTAGGAGGAAGGGAGGAGAACATAAAAGGAGAGAGTATGCACAGGAAAAAACCCAAAACATAACAAGCACAATGACAATACAAAGAGCAACCAGTGATAGAGGAGGAGAGATAAAGGACAGAATGATGCATGGTGAGATGGAAGCGGCACATTAAGAGCAGGATGGGTGGAGCTCAGCCGAGAGGTGGGCCACAATGTCGCTGTACTGCCTGTCTCAGAACAGCAAAAAACAATAGCACGCACACGCTCGGGTGGAAGGGGGGGGGCGTGCAAGCTCTTCCTCCCTCCCTGGCTCTCTGTCGGTACAATACAGCTATTGATGCAAACAAATATTTATGCAGAGCACAGATACCAGAAGGAACTGCATGGTAAGCAGCCGGGGCTTTGTGAATATTACTGTACGCAGATGAGGTGGAGGAGGAAGTCGTCCGGCTTTTAAACAACAGCAGAAACAGTGATAGGAAGCACGGACACAATACAGAACAATAAAAGAGGCTTTTCCTGCTCTCCCACAGCTGGTAGCGAGTGCAGCAGGATAAAAGTAAAAAGTAGCACAATATGTGAAACAGGAGCTTGACCAATATTAGATTTCTTATCTTCTTCTTTTTTTCTTTTTTTTTGTTGCTGTGGGGTCAGATGAGAAGATTGATATCATATTTTTAACCACTGAAGCTAAATATGCAGCTACAGCCAGGAGTTGATTAACGTACTGCAGAGATATGAACATATGAACATATATAGATATGAAGGGGGGAGCAAGGGGTGGGGGGCATTGTAAAGGAGTAAAAAGCCAGGCTCAATAGGTATCTGCAGCATTGTCTCTCCCCAGGAGTGAGATTGCCCCTGAGGCCTACATTCTGCAAAGGTCAAAGGTCAGGGCTGCGGGGGGTGCATTCTTCCCTCCCACTCGTGTTTTTAAACCGACCCGCCTGTCTCCCCTGCCTTCTATAGCAGTTCCGTTTTCTTTACTGCTCTGCATCCCTTCCTCATTACGACAAAATACAAGCCTAACAAACACACATACACAGGCACACGCGCCTTCCGTGTTCGCACTAATGTGGAAAAAATGTAAATTGCATCCTTGACTCTGCTTTAGTCACCAATCGTTGCTAAACTAACCACACGCAAAAAGGCACATTTGTTTAAAAGACGTCATCCAAAGAGAATCAAATTAAAAACAGTCACCTAAGCGCTGCTGTGAGATCATCACATGATTTAACGAATCCATTTTTGAAGACTGCTGATTAGGTATCACACTCTTTCACGCTCCTGCTTTGTTATAAAAGACAGAAATGACAGCACACACACACACACACACAC